TGGGAGGTGTGTTGATGTGGGCTCTGGAGCGTGTGAGTCATGCGACAGGGCCTCACGTGTCCACCGAGAGCTACCTCCCGAGCCCTGCACTTGGTTTTCTCCTGCTGGAATGTGCTCTAGCGAAGCTGCCTCTGCTAGAGGACTTGCACAGTGACGGGATGCTTCTTGGAGCATCAGCCGCTCACGGCCTGCTTGCTCTAGGCTGACAGGGTGACACGCAGAGAAGTGATACAGGACAAAGGGAATGGCTTCCCCACTGACAGCGAGCAGATGGGCTCCCGTCAGATGATCACGCTGAGCAAAGTCAAATTGCAGCTGGGAAAGGTGACTGGAAAGAAAAGGGAGCCAGGTAGGTGGTGGAGGGGAGCGCATTGTGGGGAGACCGGCCCATTCTAGAGGGCGGAGCCATCCCTCTGGATGTGGCATCTGATTCGTGGTCACATGACTGAGAGGAGGCAAAGTGGGGGCAGCAAAGAATGAGAGGCCTTTACGCTACGGGAAGAAGCCTGCAAGCTGCTCCCCGGGGTCTATGGCTCAAGGGAAAGTGTTCACACTGTGTTCTCTGTGCTCAGCACCCTCTGTGTGGTCCAGGGGCCAGGAGACCAGTTCAGTTCAGGCAGCAGGCAGCTTATGCACCGCTCATGGAGGGAGGAGCCTCCCAGGCCCTTCTGCTGCAGTATGCAAAAAATAAATTTAAGAAGAAAGAAAGAAAGATAAAGACAAGCCGAGCATCCATCCAAATACTGAGGCAGCACCTGTCTCTCTCTCTCTATGTGCCTTTTATCTGTCATTAGTTCAAAATAATTTAAAAATAACTATGACACGAGTACTGTGATTTACTAATAGTAATAGTTTGATGTGTGTGGAAGCCTTAATTCTGATAAGGACCAATAAAGATCAGTATCATGATCTCCATCTTACAGATGCGACACCCAAGGCCCAGAAAGCCGGCACGGCTGGCCGGCCAAAGGAGGGGAAGAGGGTTACCTGGGGCCGGTCCCTCCATGAACCTGTCTTGCTGCAGCTAAGGGTTTGCTTGAGGATGACGATGTAGCCCACTGGATTCTGCTTGCTGGTCTGCTCACCCGCCCACACATCCACCCGTTCATTCCTTTATGGTTCTTCCGTACTTCTTGATTTTGTTTCCCTCTCAGGTCCTGCTTGTTTGACACCCTTCTCATGTGACCCACTCCTGCCCTCCATTCTGCTAAACTAACTGTCGCATGACCTCCTGCCCCCTTTCCACGCTCCTATCTCCTTACCTGTCTTCTTCAAGTTCTCTGCCATGCGTTATTTTATCTGTGATGCCATCAAACAGTGCCTAAAGTTAGAGTATATATTTAGGGCCTCTCTTTCTCCAAGTCCTGGTCATGAGAACAAAAGCATTGCCCATATCCGCTCTGCACAGCACGGGCCTGAAAGAACCATTTAACTATTTGCTGAACAAATAAATGAAAGCCAGCAGGCTAAGGTCAACAATAAAATGCATATGAATTGGCCCCTGCAAGGATACTTTTTCCTGAATAAACCGTTGAGAATGAATATTTCCCACATGTAAGGAAAAGAGCTCAGCGAGAACCAGCTCAAGCTTCTTCCTGCCTCTGAGATCCGCACTAAGAATAGCAGGACAAAACCCTGAAACACTGATGGCTCTTACTCAGTCCATCCAAGCATTGTTTCTGCTTCTGAATTAGCTGGAGGCAAATAAACACATACCCCAGGCATAAAATAATTTAAGCAGAAAGCCCAAATAATCACATCTTTCTTTTGCTGCCTTGTCTCTGGGGAATTGTTTTCGTGGACATGAGGTTTGTGTGTGAGCTCCAGGTAACACCACTGCCTGGGGAACAAGCATTTGGGGGAGATTCAGAATAGGGAAAAAGAGGTCACCACAACACAGCCGAAATTTCTGGCAGAGTGAAATATCCATGTTACTCCCAGATTTTCTAACTTACTGACACTTGTCTCGAATAAGTACAATTTGATCAGATAACAGTAGAAACATCAGTGTCCGCTGCTGTACTGTTTGAATGCCCACGGTGTGTTGAATAGTCCGTGACCACCAGCTTGTTTCTTTCTGACATACTTGTCGGGGGTACTAGCATTCCTTCTGTTTTATAGACGAGGTACTAGAGTTTAAGCGAGATTACCTGTGCCCAGCACTGAACAGCTAGAGAGGCTCCGGGCCAGGTACACATGCAGGTGTGACTGGCACCCAGGCCGGCTCCCGAGCACTCACCCGAGGTCATCTGTTCATTGACTGCCCCACGTATGGACCACATGGAACTAAATTTAGATCTACATATATAAGGTACCAGAAAAGTCAGTCTGGCTTGAAATGGGGCCAAGCAATGGTGATTAACTCAAAGAAATAGGTAGGGCACTTTGGTCTTGTATCACACGGTGGTGGGTGTCGGACAGCCAGTGTACAGAGGGAGCCAGATAATCCACTCACTCCCGGGTGCTTTAGTGGAATTTGGATACCATGGAGGAGCATCTTCTGCAAACACTAACACTTATTAACTTGGGGTGGGAGGAGAAATCTGGGCTATGGACAACAGAGACTGGAGATAGGAGAGGATTAACCCAGGCTGAAGAAATGCCAAGTTTGGTTGTTGTTCAAATACGTGCACAAAGTCAATCCTAGGGCACGTTTTCTTTTTCCGAGGTGTTATGGCATATTCTGAATACAGAGCAGGGATGTCTCTGCCTCTTAGCTATTCTGAGCCTCTCTTTAGGGCTTCTAATGTTGTATTTACCAAGAGGCTCTTATTATCTGAGTGTAGCAAATATATGCACAGCCCCATCGGACACAGCCAGCAAACAGCACAGACAGGCAGCAATCAGGTAAATTTCAGATGCATGAGCGGTTTATAAATAAACATCCAACAGGGCAAACAGAGATAAACGAACGATCAATAAGTGGATTTAATATGGTTAGATTCGTAAAACTATTCCAGAGAGATAAACAGCAAGAGGATAAAGGATAGAAAAGTATAGAAGGGGACAAATAAAAAAATTCTGGGCAGAAAGAGAAGTGGGGTGAGGAGAGGAATAAGAAAATTCCACCCAGGAGTTGCTGATAATGTCAGCAAACATCATTTTCCCTGCTTTCTCAGTATGTGTTGAGAGCGCTAATCTGTTGTAAGCTATATTCTCTACAGACAGATATAACACCCAGGAGGATGGGAAGACCACCTCTTTCTGTTTCCCTGACATCTGACTTCTTTTGCAGGCTCCTGCACCGGCAGGAAGAGGATCTGAAGGCTTGTCGAACACGCAATCTCACTGCAAGCAGAGGCTGAGGTGTTCGGCATTTGCATATCTCCCCGCAACACTTAAATGATAGGACTTGCAAAGTTTACCTGCCTCTTCCGCCCTCACCCTGTCCCTTTTCCAGGCTCACATACGAAGTTACAAAAAGTTCGGGATTTTGAGCGGAGACTATTGAACACGGTGAGTTATTTTCAAGCCTATTTCTGTTATGTCCGTAGATGGAGATTTGCATTAAAAGTGCATTCCCTGTTAGGGTGACCCCTAACCTGAATACGATTTGGAGGTCAACTGGAGTAAGGACACATAAAGCAGAACAGTGTGGAGGGGAAGGGACGTAGGTCCCTCTAGTCAAAACTAAAGTGTGGAAGGATTTAAAATCACAAAGCTGCAGGTGGGTCCTAATGTCAGAGGGCTCAGTGGTCACTGCCCCAAGGAAACTCTCAATTGCATGGATGAGGTTGTATTTTGGAGCATGAGGCACGAGCCTGGAGCCTGGACTTCTGTGTGGTCCTCTCCGCAGGGCCTTGTTGACCTTCTCTTCATCGCCCTGCCCTGGTTTGGGTGCCATGTTCTGCCTACAGTGGCACTGGATCTTGGAGGTGGAGGGTGGGGAGGGGGCTCCACCTCCTCCCATTGTCCTCAGATCCCGGGGGCCTGGTTATGGGGGTCAAGAAGGTCGAGAAGGGGCAGACAGAAGCCCTGTGACATCTAAGATGGGGCAAGGTGGTGGCAGCATCAAAGCGTGGTTACCGGGTTCCCATTGTCCAACCCTGACCCAGGGGAACGGTGCCTCCCAGTGCAGCAGTTACTCTGTTTAGGGGTCACTCAGCCACCAGAGATTGGGGTGTGAACTTCAGGGAAGGACAGACAGATTTCCCATGCTCCAGCCTGACCCATGAATTTTCAGTTTTCACTGAATCTTTCTTTTTTTTTTTTTTTAATTTTTTTTGTATTTTTCTTTTTTTTTTATCAGTACCAGGGATTGAACTCATGACCGCCTGCTTGCAAGGCAGGTGCTTATGCCGCTGAGCTAAATCCTCAGCCCCAGCACTGAATCTTTCAAGTGATGCAGTTGGTCTTCACTTAGGGAAATGAAGAATAAATATTCAGAGCTGTGTATGCCTTGCACTCTACCTTAAACCCGCTCCTGGGGCAGCCATCAGGACTGTGCACAAATGGGCCAGTACTTGGACCTCACTCTCCCTTGCAGTTAGGTGCGGCCACCTGACTTGTTTTCACCTTCCAGGAGGAAATTTAAGAGCTGATGTTTTCTGACCTGGCAGTCACCACATTTCAAAGGAAAGTAGCTTTATTAGTTTGGTCCCAGCATGAGAATGGCAGGTATCAGAGTCCCTTGCATGAGTAAGAAATAAGCAAGTTATTTTAAATCACGGAGTGTTGGGAGTTGTTAAACCAGAACTTAGCCTATCCTGATGCAAATGATCTCCATGTCAATCGTTTTCCCTGGCACACTTTCTAGCAAATAAAGATGCTTTACACACATACACTGACTGACTGAATGATCCTGGCCAAATCCAGCTGTCTTACGTAGAGATTTTATGTAGATAGGGATAGACACCGAGTGTATCTTTCCTCTAGACAATTCCTTTTACATCAAACCATCATCTCGATTTCTGGCTTTTCTGGCTGACTTCATACTTGACTCTTCCCTTATGTCCTGCATGGGCCCTGCTGTCCTCTTTCCCTTCCTCCTTCCCCGCATCCTCCTTTCTATAGAGAGCATTTTGAAAATCACACATAGACAAGCGGCTTCTGATACTGCAATCTGGATCCGCTTTCCTTCTGTTCTCCATGCCGTGTCTTCCCTTCAACCGTGCAGAGTGTTTGTATTTAGACCTCTACCGGCGTCTGACTGAACTTGACGAAAATGGCACCAAGCGTCCTCTTCCAGAACCATCAACATTTCCCCAAGTTTGTGCCTCCATCCGTGCGTCTGTGGCACCTCCAACACGCGCGCTCTGTCTGTGGCTTTATTTTGGGTTTGCATCTGTTTTACTTTCATGTTAATCTGTCTCTAGACTCGGTTCGGCAATGGTTGTTGGATTCACTGTGGGCTTGGTTGCCATGACTTTCTGCCCTATTTCAGTCCTCATTATCCTGGGTCCCATGCTCGGTGCAGGTTGACCCGCCTTCCTTGCATATAACGTCCCTTGTAAAATTGTTTATTATGTGATGAGATCCTTATTATAGACCAGTGATTCCCAGCAAGCATGTAGTAGTAATGTACAACATGTTGTTTTTCTTTCAGAATTCCAGATCCAAATTCTAAGATGCAACACTGAGTCCTGCGGGTCATACTATCAGGGTGAAGGAATTGCAGACCTGCACTGAGAACAGCCAGTGAGGACCAGGTGGGTCTGGAATTTATCAGAAACCAGCAGAAATTAGGTTATGGGCATGAGGGCCAGAAAGGCACAGGAAATACAAGTTTGGTTATCGTGACTTTGCAAAGTCATAACTTCTCTGGGAATAGCCCAACAGGAGTGCTGCGGGGGATCCAGGAGTTGTCAGAAATAGGTGAAGAAAGTTCTAAGGTCTTGGGGTGCCTGGGGAAGTGAGGGCTATGTTCAGGTCTGGATGGCCATGGCTATGCGGAAATACTGGCACAAGGATGCTCTGAGTTGCCAAGAGAAACAAGAAATAGAAATTTTGGGGGTAAAAATGGAAATGTAGAAACTATTTTTAAAAATACTGAGAGGCCCTAGCAGGCTGTTTTGTGGGTGAGGTCCTGCTTGTGTGTTGCTGTGATGAGATCTCTGGGTCTAATCATGAGATGCGACGACAGGCGATGAGAACCCAGGACAGACAAAGGTTCGGGGAGATGTGACACGTATGGGGTCACCTGAGCAAGAACAGAGCAAAAGGACTGTCACAGAGGAGAGGATGGGGCATTGCCCTGAGCCCTACAAAGTCAATCAAGAGAGCATTTTAGGACCATGAGCTTCTATTTCCGTCATAATCAGGAAAATAATAGCAATGATCACTGTATTCCCCACAAAAGAAAAATTTGTTTCATGGGGAGAAATGGTCATGAAATTCTATAGCAAAATAGAAAATAAAAGAAAAGGAGCACCAAAAAGCTATTTCTAATATTGCAGTACACCAGGGGGACCAAGGCACCGCACACATGGGGCAGTGAGTTCATCGGGGGTCAGCCAGCATGGGCCTCAGCAAGGGAGGCGGAGGTGAGGGCAGGTGTGGTGGGGAGAAGGACAGAGGGTGACGAGGGACAGAGGAAACCTAGGCGCAGAGGCCAGCAGACAGAAAGACAGACAGGCCTCCGAGGCAGGAGCCAGCCTTGGCAGTGGATCCCTCTGAGCTTCATTTCTGATTCATTTAATCTCCCCAAAAGTTACGAGAGAAAGTTACAATGTCTGAGTCCACTTTAAAGCCAAGACACAGAGCATGGACCTGCCTGCACTTCCAGGTGTTCACTGTTTAGATCTGAAAATGTTTGCACAGAGAAAAGTCAAGAGGGGACAGGGTCGTGTGGACAGGCAGCCACTCCGAGGTCCTGCGGTTGGAGAAAGATCCTTCCAGCATCCCGGAAAAACCGTAAGTGGCCGTGGGGTAGGGTGGCAGAAGAGGCAGCGTGTGTTCTTCAGAAACTTCAAGAGAGAAAGCGAAAGAAATGAATGACGCGGAATATTTGTGATCAGGGCTTGGGGAGGTGGAAGAGAGACACTCGGTCGTCTCTTAGCTTTTTGTTTTTAAATAAATCACACTGATGCGGGGTGGGGGTGGGCTGTTACTCCTGGGGATGTGATGCAGATTCCTGGTTGTGGGATAATTCAAATTAATCACGAGATAGGCCTTGGATACTGAGAGGAGATTAATCATCCAGAAATAAACAGAGGATGGATTATTTCATATCTTTGGGCTATGCTCAAGTATGCATCCGACCCCGCCAGAGTATCGGAGCCATACGGAATCTTCCTGGAGCACCTGGAGCCCGCCCAAAAGGCGCGTCCTGAAATCACAGTATCCACTCCGAGCCTCAGAAATGATGCTCAGAACTTGTCTGATGCCCGCTCTGCCCTTTGTTTGGAATGTAACACGTGCCTCCCTCCAGCTGGGATCGTGAAAACCTGGTCCTCCCCCTCGGGGTGGCTTATTTTTAAAAGTCGTGGAATGTGGAATATGAATACAACCTTTTCATTTAAAAAAGGAAATCCCTCCATGTGCAGAATTTACATTATTCAGAACATGACAGAAAGCACAGAGGAAAATAATTCTGCCTGACTCTCCTCCTAGAGACGGGGCATTTTCAAACTCAGGCGCATGCAACCTCTGCGTACACCGAAGCGCCTCTGTCCTTTTCTTTCTGTTGGTTTATTCTCCAAATGAGTGGAGAATCAAGTTGGGCTACATTTTAAAAATCAGATTCCCAGGCTCCACTGCCAGAATATTTCTAATTTAGTGAATCTCAGTTGAGGCCTGGAAACCTACATTTCAAGCAAGCTCCCTAAGTGGACCTTCGATACAGTTCTAAAAAGTGTTCCCCAAGTTCCGGTGAAGAAGAAATCTTATCCTGAACCGCGCAGGCAGGAGGTAAAGAGCCTGGTTTTGATATCAGCATTTGCTGAAACTGCTGTTTCCCTAAGTGAAGGAGTCACAGTCAGAAGGGAACTGCAGATTCTAAAAGAGACGCTTTGCTTATTAAATTAAAAGAATTCAGCCATTATTGCACAGGGCTCCTGACAGTGCTCAGTGACCACGCACACACATGGACGTGCCTGGTTATGACAACTGCTCACCCGGGTTTCCAGGTTGCTCATAGTTCAGAACCCTGGATCACCATCCCAGGGGCTGTCACACCGCGTGTCATGACTTTGGTTTGGAAAATAGAGTCAGGGAAGGATGCTCCAGGAGGAACTGAACTGGAGGTGCAGACTGAGTCTGCAGGGAAGGCAGGGACGCAGGCGACTGGACCCGCGTGCTGCGATAGGCGCTTTGCTGGTGAATCTCCGCCATGGTCCCTCGAGCTCCACTTTGCAGGTGAGGAAACCGAGCCGTGGGAGATGAAACGGCTTGCTCCTTTGGGGTCCCGTGAATTGTGTGTGGGGGAAGAGGAGCTGAACTCAATAAACTATGAAGTTCAAGTTCTCAGCCATTGTGGCAGCGCTAAAGGCTTCTGGGAAGGATGCTCGGGAGTGGGGTCGACAGGGACAATGGGCTGGGTAGATGGGGAAGGGGAAGGCAGGTGAAGATGGTGGATCTCAGGGTCTGTTTCAGGCACTAGGGACATCTCAGTCGACAGGCCCACAGAGAACAGCAACAGGAAAGGCACCAGGAAAGCGCTGCTCCTGCAGTGTTTTTGAAAGTGCGACACAGCTCATGGGATCATTGTCCACGGGTGCTGGATGGATGATCAAAGGTGACCCATGGGTATCTGGCAAAGACTGAGCTTCCCTAAAGGCATTGAGTTGTCTTTTAAGTCGCGACTCAGCAGGGGCTAACGCCTTTCCCCCTTGAGGATATTTGGAAATGTCTGGAAACCTTTCACACTTCACGCTGAGGATGGAGTTAGTATTGGCATCCAGAAGGGCAGAGACAGGCACACTGCTGAATCCCAGCACAGGGCAGCCCTACAACAAGGAATGATCTAGCCCCAAATGTCAGTAGTACTTCGGTAAAGGAGGTGGAGAACCCCACCTGAAAGGTTTTAGAGCACTGAAGAATGGTGAAGTGCAGACGGCCTTGTGTGTTTCATGAGGCCACCAAATGAGCTCCGGGTGTGGGGTCCTCGCCATGCAGCACACCCCCCGTGGGCTCCAGTTCATTAAGGCGCTCTTCCTGGAGTGACTCTCCTCTGAATATAGCAGCTTAGCATGCGGAAATCTTTAACCAAATGTGACTTTGTCCTTTGGCGTGAGGATATTATCATTCTGCTAGTGCCAATAATTAACCTCTGTTCAATAGGAACCCTTCTCCTGGAAAAACTACTCTACTGGGAGCCATGGAAGTCATCTTCTTCCCAAACACGCCCGGAAATGTTAACAGGACCAGGCAACTGTAATTGCTCTGACGCTTTGCATATTTATGTTGGAGAACTTCATCTGAACTGTTACTTTAAAAAAGAAAGATCAGTTCATCTTTGAAAAGGGGGTGATTAATCGCTGCCAGTCGGGCATTCCTTCATTCCTGGCTTCCTCTTAGTCTCCGTAATAAGTTCTTCACGAACACCAGTTTGCTATTAAAGAATGGTATTCATCATAAGCCAAGCAGAGAGGAGGCACAATACCCTATTTCAATCCACAGTGTCCTTTTTGTTCAACTTGGTCTCGATCTCTGTGTCATTAACATTTGAGGAAAAACACACAAAGATGTAGGTAAATATTAATCAGGAATGCACAGTCTCTTCCCCTACTCAATTACCCATTACTGGGCTCTCCAGGTGATAATGTCCTGTGAAAGGGTCTATTTGCTTAAAACTCAAGTGAGAAGCAGCTTAAGCAGTTTTAAAACAGTAGGGAAAGGCTCCCCGCTCCTCTGTCAGCATCCTTCCGGGTCAGCTGGTGTTGAGAGTGTGTGGGTGTGTTTGGCTCCTTCGCCTCCAGCCTGGCTGCCTTTTCATTCCATTAGAAGTTTTGCCAACATTTTCAGATGACCTGAGACACTCAGAGCACACATAACAATGGTCAACGCACCCAGCAGGCTGTGGATCAGGCACCTCTGTACCGAGCCATCGCTTTGAACTTGAAGTTCATTTTTTCTACTTTAGATCTCCTCAGACCATGGAAATTGCCATCAACCTTTCCACAATGGTAAGAGCAGGTCTAAGTCATGATCTCTCTCATTATCAGTGAAGTCATTCAAAGAGCATCAGATCAGCTGGGCTCTGATGTAAATAAACACATTTTTGGGTGAAGTCTATTTCTCTGCTCCTAAAACTGGTGTAAATTCAGAGGCTCATAATGACATTTTGTCCCAAGACTGTCAGCTCTTTATGTTAACCATGATATTAAAAATCCAGATGACAAGAGCTGGATTCATCATGGAAGTCAAGATCAGAGCCCCAAAAGGCCATCTCCTGAGAGCTGATAGCTGTATGTAAATGGCAAATGCACAGAGGCTATGTGGGCTGAAGGGGAGGGGTCTTCACCATGCATTGCCAGGAAGTCAGGTCAAACTGCTTCTGAGTCTCAAAGTATAGGCATCAGAGAGAGGAAGTGAGGCGGTTTCTAAGTCATTAGGTGTGCTGGTGATTTAAAGGAGTCTACAGTTACATCCCTTTTCCTACGAATTGCATGACATGTTTTTCCCCCGCATAAACAATTTTTTTTTTGGTCTCTGTATGATATTATGTCTTCCCTCAATAAAAGCAATCGGTGTGATATGTGTTAAGCACTTGGTGCTTTGTACTTTTGTAAAGAGGCCCTGGACTAGGACCGCCCCCTGAGCCCCACTAGGAGAGGTTTATTTCTGAGACACCCTGTTAGGACTTCGCCATCTGCTGAGCATTTGAGAAAAAGAGAAGTGGCACCATAAGGCACCTGGTTTTGCTCAGATATGGGCAAATCAAGCCACAAAAGAATTATGCTTTTCAATATCTTGGGAGGATAATTCTGCAGAGCCTCTGGATTCTGTGCCACACCTTTGTACTCTTACGGATCGGAAGCTGTGTCTTCTACACAATGGCTTTGAGCTTGTTTTTCACTAGTAAGAAACACACTTACATACAAAAAGGAAGAATTATTATAAAAATATTACTTCCTTTGCTACATGCGAGGTACTTGGCTATGTTTTAATCTGCTCTACTTTTTAAAGGGCTGGTCATAACTACCAAACAGACTTCACTAGTGGGTTGTAATCCACAATTGAAAAAATAACGCTGTGTTCAGAAATGCAAGATTTGTTCAGCATGTATTCTTCACCCCAGCATAAGGACTTTTTACATACCGATTAACAGTGGGGAGGAGGGTGCCAATTGTGGAGTATTTTTGTTAAAACAAGGTGCACACTTCACTAGCGTGCATCTGAAAAATAGGTTTTCAGCTGTGAAGTTGTGGACATCTTCCGAGTTTCACAGAAGTTGCTTTAAGTCTCAGTCAATTCAGTGTCACCTTTAGCCCTTCAAAGTTTTATTACAGGAATCTCCCTCCTTTCTTTCTTTTTTAAAAAAAGTTGATTCTAAGTCACACACAAAAAAAATGAAAAATAGAATTAACTATCTGAATGTTTCCAAGTGGACAGAGGCTTTGGCACTGAACAGACGTGATGACCCCTGCCACCCACGCACTTTCCAGGACAAGTCCTGGCCTGGAGCAGCTGAGCCTGGCGTGGACACTCTTCTTCAGCTAAAGCCCTTTATTATCTAACACAGGAAGTCAGTTCCCATCAAGCTGCAATGCTAGAGGGAAATTTCTCATTGCCTAGAAGGTTAGATTCTGGACCCTCGCCATAACACCATTAGGTATTGAATAGAATTTGGGAGAAAGTACATTCTTCTTGGAAATAAGCCCAAAGTTTTAGTTATTCATAACTGCAAAGAGAAACCCTGATAAGAATCATCCAACAACAAGAGCAACTATCGAATAAGCTTCCCAAGGAAGACATTCTAAAGCCAAAAGTAAAATAACTTCAAAATACTAATAAACATGCATATATCTGGTTGATACATTTGATTTAAACTTCTGTTTTCACATTAGATGAAATGTTTTGCTCGGACCCCATCACGGATATGATTTCTACAGGCGATTCAATGGGAAAATGATTTGAAAGTCCCCGTTGCCAAAACAAATTGATGATGAATTTTTCAGCTGACATCTTGTTTCAAAGTGTATTAGCAAAAGAAACCAGAGAAGAGGGAAGAAGATGATTTAATTGAAGATAAGGTTGAGGCTGTAGTTTGTACAAACTGTTCAAAAGTTTTAAAATCAAAAAGTTAGATTAAACAGATGCCTTCATGACAGTTTTTAAATCTCAAGAATACATATTTTTGAATATGCATTCCAGCACATTTTTCCTGGCTTCTACCAAGAAGAATGATAAGATATTAAAAGTCCTTATGATTATTGGCTCTTCCTGGGATTTGCAAGGCAATAAGAAAAAAATTGATGTAAGCGATAAGAAAACTCACCCCCTCCTTCTCTATTATTAATGCCCAAATATTATTAAATCAATAATTTTGGTGATGATCTGAACAGGTTATTAAATATCATGAATTATTAACCAAGAAGTTGATCGGAGCAACGAAAATAACTCAAGTTAATGGGAACTTTAGATTTCTAATGAAATAGCCAGTCACTGACAAAAGATCTCTGCTAGGATTTCTGGAACGTGAAAAAGCAGAGACCGCAGATGTCCTTAAGGAAGAGCACAACATTCCTTGCTGGATTACAGGAAATTAAAAAACCAGATATCCATGATCAAAATAACGAGAGATTAAGTAGACCGAATAGAAGGTGCCAGCACCTATAGAGGACTCACTGTCCCCCAGCCCCTCCACCGCCTCTTCCCTCTCAGTCACCAATTCTTTTAGTAAACCTCAGGGGGGAAAGTTGGGGCACAGCCACAGATTTGTCAGTGCTGGGTGTGCCTCTGGCGAGGGGAGCTGGGCATAGCGCAATTAGTCAGCGGCTCTTAGCCAGTAAAAGTATCTGTCCCGGTTACTTTGCCTTAAGCAGGGAGGATGTGGAAGAGTATTTTGTCCAGACGTTACCCAATAACAGGCGGTGGAATGGGATTTAATTTAGAAGGGACAAGGAGGCAGGAGGGGGGAATCGAGGTTGGGCCCCTCCCGAGCGGGCAGAAAGGTTTGATGGACTTTGACCCTTTTGTGAAATCGTAGTTACCATCCCAGGGACACCGACACAAACAAACCAACCGGCTGTCAGGCGCTGAAGGCAAACAGATGCCCCTCTTCTGTCTTTGCATACCTTCTCCCCTCAGGCTTTCTGCTAAAGCAACATCTTGCCAAAAAGCATTATCCCGTGTTAGAGTTTCCCAGTCCTAATGTGACCCTGTCATTAAGGAGTTTAACAACATGTATTTTTTTTTAAGCATTAAATGCAATAGGAATCCTGAATGGGAGAAAAGGAGCAGCCAACCAGGGATTTAGACCTCGGTAGGGCACACAGGTGGGTCAGAACCGAGATGGGACAAGGATGCAGGGAACAGGGGTGCAGAGGCACTGCTTCCTTTAGAAAGGAGCCTGTGTGGGTTCTGTCCCTGAGCACTGTTCCTTACGGCAGCTCCTGGGTATGGTGACATTTACAGGCTGCTAGCGGAGAGGTGACAATAAACGCATAAACAAAAATATGCATAGGATTTTGAGGTGGGAATAAAAGGAAACAAGAAATTGTCCTAGTGAGCTGTTGGAAGATAGCAGGTCTATTTCAGATATAAGAGAGTTTGGGGGCTTCTGGCAGGAGGTCAAGTCTAAGCTGGAGCTTGGAGAGATCGTGAGGCAAAAAGAATGAGAAGGTGAGGGTTTCCCATAAGCGCTGGATCACAGCAGCAGTCAGCTCCGATGATTAAACGGGGAGCTGGCCGAGCACGCCAAGCCTTTGTGAAGAACTCGCATTTGAAGGAAGCAGTTTATAAGATTCCCGGCTCGCCCTCACCCAGGGGATCTGAACACTCTCGGGTGCTCCTGTCCCCTTGCTGGTGCCTATTCCACAGGGATCGTCCTCCTGCCTCCCAGCCTGGGCTGGAAGAGAAGAGGGGTCACCTTCCATTCACCGCCAAAGCTGGATTTATATGTAGGACCACGTGATGGTGCTGGAGGTGGTCCAAGCACATAGGCAAAGACTCAGTGGCGGTGAAATCACACTAAGACAAACAGCAAGAAAACATGCTCCGGGAGAGAATTGTAACCATCCAAGGACACAGAAAACCACAGGCCTGGCCCCAGAACTGCATTCCTCATACATCTAACCATGTTCCTACGCTATACGATAAACCAAATAAATCAAGGGACTCTTGGGATGGATGGAGAAGCCAGCAATAAATCCCCTTAAACTTCCTTGTCAGTACCTTGCCTGGAAACTTCACTTCTTTCTGAAAATTGAAAAAAATGTTATGGGGTGCTGTAGAGACATAGCAGGCAGTGAGAAAGAAAGTCCCCTCTGAATTTCTACTTAATTGTTGAGCGGGTTAAAGAACTGGAGACAGTTCGGTTTTTGTGGAGACGCAGCACATGTTGGGTTCCAATGGGATTCTTTGCTCCACATTGAATGTTTTACAGTTTTCTGAGCTTAAAAACATGTAATGGCTCATTCTGGTCTTCTTTAGTTGTTGAATTACAAAATGCCAGCACAGGACACAAAGTAACCACTCAATAAACGTGAGTGAGTTGAATCATGAATGTAAAGGAAGGCTTAGAATCCTATACATTGGTTATATATGCTAACTATAATTTTCGAGTTGTCTTTATGTGTCTAATGCTTCGCATTGGTTACCTGACTGCCTAAGACATAGGGATTATCACCTTTATTTTATAGACAAATGAGCTGAGCACTATCCATGTCATTGTGGAGGCTGGGCAGCATTCAGCAGTCACCTAGTACATATTGAGCACTCACTCTGTGATGGGTACATGCTAATAATTAGGCATTAAGGTTTATGTGGCTCCAAAGCTCAAGCTCTTAGCTGGTTCTGAATGGACCATGTTAGCAGCCAGGTTTACCAGATGCTAAAACTGATCCTCAGGAACTCACGTCAGGCAAACACGGGAACAAGAAAGACCCTCACTGAATGCACAGCCTGAGCAGCACTGGGTTTTGCACGTCCATGTGTGTGTGTCCAAAACACCGTGACACTCATGGCTGGCCTGTTTTTCCCATTCACTCTAACGAGCATTTTCATTACAACACTCAGGCCAAGCTTTAGAGCAATGAGTTCCCGTCTGGGAGCCAGACACTAGGACACATTTTAAGTGACTACCTGGACATGCTGCATGGGTCCCCTGGGCCAGACGGGAACTGGAAATAAGCACGTGTGATCTGGGAGTCTCGAGACAGCATTACTGGAGCCAGAGGCGAAGGTTGAGGGAGGCGGGGAAGCGCTTTCCTCTGGTTGCGTCAGGAAACCAGACTTGCTCATCAGGGTTGTCTGGGTTCCTGTATCAGGCCTCCTTAGCACTCAAGCATTTTCCTAAACAGGTTGGGACGCGCCTCTTTGTTTTTCTGGGGAAAATCATGGCATCGGCTTTGGGGAATACAATAGAACAAGAGCATGTTACTGTGCCCAAATGAGCTCGCTGTCTCCGGAGTGGGTAAAAAGTGGGTGCCAACCAGGGGCAGGTTCACTTCCACTTTCCCTCAGCCCACGCCCCTTGCTGCCCCAGGGAACATTTGCAACGCCTGGCAAAGTCAGTTCCGTGGACTCCGTGAGCCTGCTGC